GCCAACAGAAGCAATTTAAAGTTGTGATTATGTGGGATCACAGTAATAATTGTGATTATTATCACAATTAATCACAATAATAGTGAGAATAATTATTATTATTATGATAATAGCAAAATTATCTATTGTATATATGGTAGAGAAATTATATATCAATTGTATACTATATATAAATTATATATCGATATATATGATCTATAAATTATATATAAATTGGATATATGATATATAATTTCTATATAAATTATATATCATAAAATACTATCATTTAAAATAATAAAATTTAAATTTAATAATTTAATAAAAATAATGTTAATAATGTAAAATAAAATTATGTAAAATAATAAAATTATATAAATTAGTAGAATTACATTAAATAATAAAATTATATTAATATATAGGTCTAAATTATATATATATACACATATATAATATATAAATATATATAAATAAAGTATAATAGATAATAATTATAATATTTAATAACAAGGTTAATAGTAATTGTGATTTTCACCACAATTAATCACAATAATTAGTCGTGATCATTATTCTTTTGGGGCCTCTCAAACTTTTGGAGGATGCAGCTTCTTTTTAATCTTAATTTCCCTGCAGTATTTCCCTCAGTCCAAGGGAATAATTCAAAAATTCAAGTCCACACTGGGAAATTCTCCTTGGCAGCTGCTGAGTGTGAAAAACACCAATCACTTGGGTTTTTTTAAAAAAATCTTTAAAGTTTATTAGTACTAAAATAGTTATAAAAAATAGTAATAAAATTGGAGTAATAAAAATTTGGACAGTGAGGGTTAGGACAATTACAAGACAATAAAAATCAAAGAATTTCAGACATTCGGATGTTTTTGGGCACTGAGCTGCCAAAACCATGCCTTGAACAAAGGGGTGATCCTTAAAACAATATGTTGTATATATCTCATACATGATCAATTCTTTCCAATTTAAAAAGCAAAAATTCTTTCCAAATTAAGAATTTTTCTGTTTTTTGTCAACTTCTTGCCCTCAATCCTGGTGGTTCTGTAAAAATGGAGAGAAGGTGGAAGAATTTGTTTTTTCTGATAAGGAGGTTGTAGCTCTTTAGATTTTGTTGCTGTTATCTCTGTGCTAAGAGTTTCTTGATTATTTTTCCTTTTTCTTGAGCTAGTAAAAAATACTTTACATTGCAGAGTTTCTATTTTAACATTATTCTGTAACCTAAAACTATATTTAACACAGCACTCAAGAGAATTAATAATTAATACAGCGTCATTTTCTGAAATTACACTTTTAATATTCATTTTAATATTTGTGAAAAGCCAGTCATGAAATATGCATTTTTCACGCTCATAAGCTCTCAGATAATAAAAAATCGTATTTAAAAAAATACTTATTTCAGAGGTAAGTTTTACACTGGAGATAGCTCAGGTGGGATAAAAGTAGCAGGATGGCTCCTGTGGCAGTGCTGGAAATGAAGTTTTAATAAAAGGCAAAATAAAAAAGCTTTTTACAGAGAAAAACCGAGCCAGGGCAAGAGGTTCTCGGGGACCTTCAGAACATCTGTCAGCAGCACCAGCACGTCTTCCAAACTGGATTGTGGCACTAAAATTGGGATTTTCTCCCTCTGCACGGCTGCTGCCTCCCTCCTGAAGCGCTCTGCCTGCTGAGCAGACAGCGCGGTGCTGCCAGAGCTTTTCCCAAGGTTTTGGATCCCAAATTTCCCAGGTGACTCTTAGCTCCAACTCCCATTTCTCAGCTGTGTTGTGTCTTAGGAGAAGGTGTTGATAAAAACCCACAAACACTCGTACTGGCACGGAACTGGAAAAATAGGAATAAAAACCAATGAGTGGGGCATGGAAACAATCCACAAACACTCGTACTGGCACGGAACTGGAAAAATGGGAAGAAAAACCAATGAGTGGGGCATGTAAACAATCCACAAACACTTGTACTGGCACGGAACTGGAAAAATGGGAATAAAAACCATTGAGTGGGGCATGGAAACAATCCAAAAGGAAAAGAAATGCCGGGGGTTAAAAACCGACTTGTTGAACTCCACAGAAGTGAGGCTGTGGCTAAGAGGAAAGCAGAGGAGTCTGTGGGTGAGCTTGGGGATAAATTCCCACCTGGGGCTGAATATTTACAGGGGGAAATAATCTTAATTAGGGACTGGCCAAATGCCACCGAGGTGCTGTGCACCCCTCTGGGTGAGGATGGGGTGACAGCTGATGGGTGCACCTCTCTGGGTGAGGATGGGGTGACAGCTGATGGGTGCACCCCTCTGGGTGNCTCTGGGTGAGGATGGGGTGACAGCTGATGGGTGCACCCCTCTGGGTGAGGATGGGGTGACAGCCTGGGACTGAGCAGGAGCCACGGGCAGGGTCGGGGTGCTGCTTTTCCAAAGGGAGCAGCTAATTCTTAATTAGGAAGGGGTTTAACAAACCCACCGTGGTCAGGAGGGAGTTTAACAAACTCCCATTAGAGAGTCTTTGCTCAGGTGTCAATGTCCCCTGATCACACCAGCTGTGACAGAGCCACTTTGCCCAGGACCAGGCTGGAGCTTCTCACCTGTCAGGGATGGTTGGGATCTCTCAGCAGCCAGGATTGATCAGCACAGGGATATTTGGGATCCTCAGCTGCCAGGATTGATCAGCACAGGGATATTTGGGATCCTCAGC